TAACATTAAACTGCAGGAACTAGAGATTTGTTAGTGTATTTTCATACCTTTATGTTGCTTGCTTATCCAGTTTGACATTAACTAATCTCTATTGTATTGCTCATCATTTTAAACTGATTTGTAGGTGTTCTTCCTATTTTCTAGATTCCAATATTTTGTCAGTTATAGTTTCTACTTTCTTAATTTGCATATAGGCTCTTCTCTCATATCTAAGTTCTAAATTTTAATATAGTTAAATTTACATTTTATTTCCCCTTTTCCTTCATTATTTGAATTGATAATATTTTTTGTTGGTATTTGAGTTTATATTTAAAAATAGTATTTGATGTGACAAAAATTAATCAAAATCTTTTCCTAATTCTTACAGCTCTGACAACTATAAATACTTGGATGTATTTTCTTCATGCTTTAAATATAAAAGGAAATACTTCTAAAGTCAAATTGGATGTATCTCATAGTTGTGTTTAAAACTATTCCTAGTATTTGTCAAGATTTATGAAAAATTCATTAGATAGAAGAAAATGGCAAAATTCCATGCTTTTGACAATATATTGATAAAATTTAAACAAAGAAGAAAGCAAAAATCAAAGGATAGGGGAAGGAAGTGACACCTTTTTGCCTATATAATTTAATTCCTTCAATTTTGCAAAGTCAGTATTATTACCATCAATTTGCAGATGAATGCACCGAGTCTCAAAAAGACTGAATGATTCAGCCAATTAATTCAGTTGTATTGACTCAAAGCTGAGATTTGAACCCAGGGTTTTTTGATATCAAGCCTGAGTATGGACTGCTATATCTCATCTAATTTGTATGTCTCAAGTATCTGACACTTAAAAAATGGACTGAAAACCAGTGCACATTTATTCCCAGTATCATCCAAGGTTGAGACTTATGTGTAAATTCCCAGCAGAATTCTTGACACATAGCTTTAATTTTTTGTTTCATGTGGTTCTAAATGAACATAAATAATATGCACATACTTTCTAGCACTTTATGAAGTCTTATCTTGATTTTAAATGCCTATAATATTGTTCGCCATGACATTCTGCTTTTTAATTTTTTTAAATTTTTTTTAAAATGGCAGGCCAAGGTTTTTGTGGAGTTTGATTGAAAGGTGTTAAGTGTGACTAAATAAAGGTGTAGGAAAACATCATTTTGGTGATGCCAGTACTCCCACCAGAAATCTCTGCAAGCACTTTAGCTTCCATCCTGACAATCTGAATTTCAACTATGTTCATCCTTCATGATATATTTAGAAAATTGGCTGCAGAATATTATTAATACAGTTATTGGGTTCTAAACATTTTAGAACTCTATAAATTTGCTCACTGATAATTTAGAATGGTGTTGAGAAAAATTAAATAGTGTTGGCACTCATGAGTTCATTAAAGATATGTATGGTCTGAATGTTTTCGATCACCCCAAATTCATGTTGAAATCCTAACTCAGGTAATTAGGCTATGGGAACAGATCCCAGGAATGGCATTAAAGCCCTTACAAAAGAAACCTGAAATAGATCCTTCCCTTTCCACCACGTGAAGATACAGTAAGGCAACACCATCTGTGAATTGGAAAGTAGATCCTCACCAGACACCAAATCTGCTTTGATCTGTTGGACTTCCAAGCTTCCATGAGAAGTAAATTTATGTTGTTTATAAGCCAACTAGTTTATGTTTGTTTTAGCAGCCCACATGGAAGAAGACAGTGTGGTAGACTGAAAGTGATCCTACAAGATTTACAAACAGCAGAACACACTTCATAAGAAATTAGGTATTTTTGAGTTCACAATCAGTCCAGTGAAACCAGATCATGCTAAAAAGGCTGGTTTTCTATGTTCTACTCAACACTGAAGATGTGGCTGAGTGGGAATAGTTGGCTAGAAATGGCACCTAATGAGACCACCAACTGCTGTTACAATAAGAACAGCTACAGGCATAAGATAGTTTCTCAGCTGCCCTGGGGACTATTGCCTGATTAGCTTCTCCATGAATGGCATTTATATCTTTGGAACTGCATGAGGTTTAATTTTGCCAAGAATGAATGTCTAAGTATGCAAGAATTAGATAATGGCAGTCTTGGGATGTTATTTAAGATAGAAATAGTATGAATTTATACATACACATCAGTTGGAGGGAGTGTATGATTCTTGTAGGTTTAAAATCTGTGGAAAATAAATCATTTTTTGAGATCTTGTATCTCTCCTCAGTTTTCATAGATCTTGTATCTCTCCTCTATAATTCTTTGGTGAATTGATGATAGATGCAAGGAGACAAAAAGGGATCAAATTATGGCATTAATTTTATTAATGGTCAAGCCAACGTGGAGGATATGGCTGGAGTTTTTAGAATCTATGAATCTAGAAGGCAAGATTCCACTTACTTGCTCAGGGATAGCCAGAAAGGCTGGAACTGCACAGAAGATAGCTCAATGGCTCAGGGTAAGAGGTAGCTGAGCCTGGACATGAGGCATTCCAAGTGCCCATACCCCATCTACTTGTATGTCCACCAATACTAACCTCTCATCACTTTCACCAAACAAGAACAACAGAACACACACACACACACACACATACACACACACACACAGCTTTGCCATCAAATACAGGAAAAACTGCTGCTTCTGGTGACTATTGTTTATTCTAAGGAATTATATTTTAATTAAAGGTAAAGAGTTCCTTTATCGTAAATACTTTTAATTCCCCTGCAGATTAATAGCAGAAATGTGTTCCATGGAAAATCAACTGACTGTAAATATACAGGGCTAAAAGGACAATTTCAACAACAGCAGTAACAATATCAACAAAAGCCAATGAATTTTATTCTATATAATATTTATTATGGAAAGTGGAATGCAAAAAAAAATCATATTCTAATTTTTTTGAGGGTGAAACTAAGTCATAAGTTGACTTTTAGTATTTTAACATCCATTCAAAATCCAATTTGAAATGAAGGTGGGAGTACATTTAATCCAAAATCTTTATTTTTTTCCTGTATAAATCATAACATTCTTTTTTTTTCTAGGAAATTAAATTTTATTGGTCAATATTTGGGGTATGGGAACTTGCTTAAATAGACCATTTTATCAACTGTGTACATAGACATTATGACAAGATATAGCTTTAGATTCTAATATTTGGTACATTTATAAATAGACTTTCTATTTTGAATATTTTTATTTCTTTAGTGATTGAATGTTAATGTTTTGGTCTTTCTCAGCTGAGTATTTACATACAAATGATTCTCATATTAACAGTTATAATTTTGGGGGGTGTCATTTAAATTAATACATTTTCCAAAATTACATAAATTTTTCTTTTACTCAACAACAAATATTGACAAACATCAAGATTTTAGGTATGTTGCTCCTATAAACAAGTACATTTGTATTAGTTAAAAAACATTGCCAGCTATAGCTGTACATGTAGTGTTTATACTTGGTTAAGCTTTTCTTTTTATCTAGGTTAAAAAGATGGCGCATGATTCTCTAAAACATGAATATGTATTTAAATGTTATTCTTAACTCTCACTGAGAGGTAGTTATATTTGTACTTTTCCAAATGAAATTCTTTATCAAGGGGGTGATTGTGGTGTTTCCATTCATGTCTTCAGTAACCAGTTTTGTGTTGAGGAATCAGGGTCAGGCCTATGCTATTAGGCTTTAGGAACCAAATCAGACCTTTTGGATCCCTAACAGACCATTTTGTTAAGAAATGAGAGAAATTTGAACAATATAAATTCACAAATTAGAATTGTGATAAGTTTAAAAAATCTTGTCCATTGTTAACACTTGCCCACTAATGGGACATGAGGCATTCTAAGTGTCCCATACCCCATCTACTTGTATGTCCACCAATACTAGCCTCTCATCACTTTCATCAAACACGGAATCTCTGATTATCAACAAAAGTAATTTAGTTTTTGAGTCCTTCTTAAGGAACTCCCAATTACTCATAGTTTATTATTCTACTGACACCACAGAAGTCTTTGACTTCTCTTTGGTGTTGGTAAAATTTATTTAGCTGATTCCAAGAGAATAATGCCTGAAACTGTCTTCCATTTTGCGTGATTATACATGCTTTTGAAATCTAGGGATATAACTCTGAAAAAATGTAGGGCTTTTATTAGCCTGCGCAAATAAACATATTGATATATGTCCAGATGGAGTCTCCCAAACACAAGCGGTTTTGCCTCGTGTTTGTCAGCTCTGGATATAAAATGAGATGTTCAAAGACAGCATTAATATTTGGAAGCTGCTCAGGTACCAGGTTCAGTAAGGTGCCAACTTGATTTTTATAACCCAGAGGGCTGACCCTTCCTAAACATGAAATCTGCTACCAGAGAGAAACACCACTTAAAGGGCAGCATTGGGGGTCAATATTAATTATTGTAAAAAAGAAAAGGAGTGTTGTAGCTTTCAATTAGTTGTTTTGTGATTTATTCAAATATACCGGTTTGAGTATAATGCATTTGTGTGTGCATATATAAATGTGGATAAGCTATTTACAGTTATGCCATGTATATATTTTTATGTGTAGAAAGTGAAAATACCTATTGATTAGCCCTTTTGAGGCTTTTGAACAACTGTTTCTTCTTCCTGCTTTCCTGCAACTGCTCTGAGGGTTTAGATAATTCATACAAGGTATGTACACAATCACACCCATAGTATGTACATCCTAGTCACACATTTAGCACAGAGAGGATGTGTGAGGAATGTAAATCTTCCCAGTGGTCAAAGAACTGACCTTACCTGTGACAAACAGCATGGGTAATTAGCTCTGGCACATTTAGTAACATGCCAGTGTACTGATTACTGTATTCAGCCTTTGTGATAATTATGTTATCTACTCTCAGAGATGAAAAAGAAGCAAAACAAAATAGCCCTTTCTGACCTTGGAAAATGAAAGGACGAATTCCATTACTGAACAGGGACGCATGCTTGTGTGGCCTTTATTCACTTTCATAGATATGCCTACCTGACAACAAGAGTCAGCCTTTAAATGGGATATGGCATGTTATTTATTTTTTTTCTACACATAAAAATAGCAAGCCAATCACTTACAGATTGTATACACTTATGGAATGCACTGACATACCACAGCAGCAACGCCATTATGCACAACATATTGTTCACACATTAGTACAGCAGAGATAAATACATTTAGAAATTTAGTAATTGCTAAGAGATATTTTTCTTGAGTTGTCAGGTCATACTGACCTCTCTCAACCTCGATAAAAAGGTATCTCTAGGTGCCCTTAAAGTAAGAAATAGTCTCTCCTCTCTTCCTGGGATTGAGGAGTAAGATCATAATACTGCAATCTCCAGATTTACCAGCATCATTTTAAGACATGACAGAAAACAATTTGCTCATAAGATGTGGTTGAAAATAAATGCTAAGGAATCTAAACTAAAATCATTAAGGATACTTATTAATATGGGTAAACCCCTTCTACTCATTTTCTATAGTTTGCTCTACACATAGCCTTTACTGTTATTAAAAGCAGTGATTGGAATCTGAAAGAATTTAACTGCTAAAAAGTTTTTTTTCCTAAAGAAGAGACAATTTAATTTTTAAAGTAACAAAGAGCAATATTAGCAATAATGTCAAAAAGTAAGCTATAATTTTCTCCCCAGAAATAAATTGATGACATCTCCACATATAAAAAATCAAGAAAGAAGTTAGTATTTTTACCCCATTTAATTTTCCCTAACATACTTAAATCAGTAGGGTATCTCTTATAATTATCACCTTATTGGTTGATTACCAGTATCTTTTTCTAAAGTGTAAAATATGTGATTTTAATTCTTGTTTTTTTTTTTTTTTTTTTTTGCAGCCAATTAATCTTTTGAACTTCAACCCAGAAAGACACTTGAAGAATTGGTATTTAGAGATAACCATCTGGCGCATCATTTTCTGTAAGGCATTATTTGTGGCCCCTTTGGATACAGGTATTCATGTTTTAGTGACTTTACATCTGGAAACCCATTTTTCATAGCTAAGACGGGCGATCCTCTGGGCAGAGTTGACAAAATTGCTTTTGAACGTGCTAGGGTCCAGGAAGAGGAATTACCATAAGTTTATCCCCTTCACTTGACAGAAGTTTCTGGATGGCGTTGTCTTGAGTTTTAAGACAGCAAACCTTTTAGTGGCTCCTCTTCTTTCTTGGCTAGCATGAAAGCAGACATATTGCCTGTGTCTCTACTCATGCTCACTAGTGCTGCACCTCTTTATGGAATTCCTAAACAAGTTTACTCAACAAGAAAGCAGAAATTATGCCTTCATTTCTTTTATCCTCTGGGTTTTAGTCAAGTCTTTGTAGAGCAAACCATAGTTATATAACAGTGTGCCTGTAACAGATGCACTTGCTGGTATAACTGCCTCTTTTTGGCACATTATTGCTTGGCTTTAATTTCATATTCAACAGTCTTTATTCTCATGATTAGTATCTGAGATATCTGTTTAAAAAAAACTGTAAATAACATCTTGTTGCACCATTCTGGCCCCCAGAGTCATTTCACCAAATCCCATGGTTATTTGAATGTCTTTTATATTATCATCACCTTAATTTTCCCAGTAGCCCAAAAGTAATGTTTCAGGACTCTTTGTTGTTTCAATCAACACATATATACAGGTGTATTGGATTTACTTTGAGAGAGGTTATTTGGTTGTGGCAAGTGAGTAGTTTAGCTGGTGAGTATTCACAGTTAAAAGTAGCTGTGATGACCTCTGGCAGATGTCACTGACTTGTGAGACAGAATTTTTCCAACTCAGTTCATCCTTATTTATATCCTTGGTCATTGCTTATTCGATTTCTGTAGCCAAGGAGAAAACTTTTTTTTTCCTCCAAGATCAGGATAAAGTTCATGGAAATTTGTTTCAGTATTTATAAGACTATTTTTTCCCTTTTGCAAAAGTGTTCAAAATTGTGTTGTTATTCTTAAGCCCATGTGTCTGCACAGATGACATTTGTAATTACTCAGCCAGTTGCAGAATTTCATTAAGGAGGATACAGTTACAGGATGGACAGGAGATTCAGTAAATTGCCTGTTATTTGCCAGGTGGCAGAAGCTAACCTACATTTGGAGAGAATCAACCCAAAGGGCTACATATGACATTGAGAAACACTGCTCGCAGAAAACAAAATGCTCAGATGAATGTGAAAAGCAAAAGTTGGAGTGTATGTGGAGACTTCTGATTCACTGGGTAGACAAAACAAGGGCTGGACAAGGTGATCTGCTCACTCATCTCAGATGCTGCTGAGCTCACTGCGTTATCACAGAAGGAAACTCACAAGCTTCGTTTTTCAAACACCACTCAGGACAAAGGAGGTGAGAGTACACAGCCTCATCTCCATGACAGCATTGTGGAGAATTAGTCAATCAAGCAGGTACGAGGTCTACACAAGTCTACAGGTGCCCAATTTTCAATAAACACACACACACAAGTACACACACACATATATGCAAATCTATCCTAATATATTATTTTTCTTTATACTGGTTCTGAAAAAGTTAACAAGGAATATGGTGAATTCCATGGTACCAGAGGTGGACAATTTCTTTAATACTTGCACAATATGTAGGAGGAAAAAAAGACAATAATTCCTCACATTTTGGCAACAAAACAGTAATAGAGTGAATATAGCAAAGGCCAGACAAGTTACATTAACAGCACATTGTATATATCCTCTGTAAACAAATTTTAAAGTCACATTGTATTCTATTCTTGGTGTTATATATATATACAACCATTCCCAGCATGGCAGAAATTCCCTAAAATGAAAGAAACAATATTAGTATAACCTAGGAATAGTAAAATCTCAATACTTTGGGATACAACCAAATGGCATTTTCCTATTTTGCTTTTTCCTTTAAGGTTGCAAGCTCCTATGAAAGATTTGGTTTCAAAATCTAACCTGTAAGGTTTATGTTACATATATGTACTCAGTCCAATTTATTTTAATTTCTATGTTTAACTTATAACATGGAGAATATTGGTACCCCGAATAATGAGTATCAGATGATTCTCAAGACTAAAAGATTATCAAAGGTCAAATTATATTCAATATAGTGGAATTTATAAGGTAGAAAACATACTAATCCATTTTACCAACACTTCATTTTGGACACAAACAAAAAGGTTTCTGGTTAACCTCTACTTAAAAATATTCAACTTATGCCACTAATTCAAAACAGAAAGGTTAATCAGGATTTTAGTGTATATAAAGTAGCTAGTCTGTGGCATCAAAAGCCAGTAATTCAAAAAGACATGATTAGAAAGGCATTCAAGATAAACATGTGGCAATGAAGCAATGCTATTTTTCTTATGATCATAAACCTGGAAAAATTAATACTTAAATAAAAATTCTAGTGTTCATTTGGTAAGTGGTATAACATCTTCACACTTTAAATGTTGAATGACTCCCATTTTTACCCCATATACGAATTGCAGAATCATATTGGTTACACATTCACATTTTTACATAATGGCATATTAGTGACTGTTGTAAAATGGGAGTTCATAACCCAATTGAGTCAAATGTATGAAAGATGATATATCATGAGCTTTGTAATGTTTTGAACAACCAATAAAAAAAAATAAATGTTGAATGACCTGCCAGACACTAAGTTCTAACTCACTTCTTTTATTACTGGCTTAGGGAGTATTTTATATTTCTTAATTGAATAAAATATTTCCTCTCTAAAGATCTAAAAGTAGAGTGTATTAAAATGGACAAATCGCATTAAAAGAAATTAAGGACAAACAAAAACAACTTTTAACTCAGTGGGTATCATGCAGGTAAAGCAAGAAATGATTGAGCAAGTTTAAAGTCCACCAGGATTATATTATATTGCAACTTCCTTTGTTGAATGAATCCAAGACATCCCAAATGGCATACTAAATACCTAATTCTGTGTCACAGACTGATGTAAGGAAGAATCTCAAACATGGTTTTATTTTGAGAGTAGCATAGGGTAGGTACTAAAATGTAAAAACACTATCTTAAACAGCCTCCCATCTCATATATCTATTTGATGACACATTCCTGTTACTGTTTCTAAAAGCTGCTAGTTCTAGAAAATTTGATAAGAACAAAACAAACAAGGTTTTGTACTATCTTATGACCATTTCTAGAGTGTTGAGAAATCAAGAATTTAGTTCTAGCACCAAAGAAAACCAAACTTACTACATCAAATATTTTTGCTTAAAAGTTTTAGTTTGAGAGGCACAACTACAATACCAAATTGAGTGGTTCTGATTAACAATGTGTGACAAATGCCAACGTTTTTCTCTTAGATCTCTGCTTCATCTCACTATTTATAAATCGTGTGGTTACTCTAATCTCATGAAAGTAAATATTATTGCCGGATGTTGAATTTTTCTTCTCTCCTATGTTAATACAGGAGCAGCCTGTTCTAGCCACTTCACAGCAGAGGATTACCTGGGGCCCACCTATCTGGAGTAGGTGCTGTTGACAGCTGCTCCTGTGTGCACAGGGTGTACTCTGTGTATACACAGCATGTGTGACATCATGTGATAGAAATGGCCAGTGAGAAAGAGGAGACAGAATAGTTGTGGCCAAGTTATCTGAGACAAATAGGTGCATAAGTCCAGAAGAGAGAATTTTAGACTTAATCTCTAATCATTAAATGTAATTTGTTTGGTAATTTGATGATAATTTCTACTTTAGATAGTGTTCTTAAAAGAGGCCAATTAGTAAGAAACTAAAAAATTTGCCTTGTTAAAAAATTCATTATAAGTTCCAAGCATAACAACTGTAATTACCAATCTCAGGCTCCAAGAAGGCTGTCACTGTGGTCTTCTTACGCAGGCTGCATATACAGCTAGATTGCTTTGAAAGAAATCAAAGCTTTTTAGTAATTTAGTTAGTTCCCAGTGTAGGTTGCACACAGGGTAGAGTTTAGGTATGATTTTTCCCCCCTCATGTTCAGAACCTGCAAAGTAGAATTAAATTGAAATAAGCTAAAACAGACAATGGGAATTGACTGTACCAATGGTATTTGAAACTTTGAAGAAAATTGCATGGTCAGATTTTTTTTTTTTTTTGGCTCATCTGGGAAATGAGTTTAGAGAAGGCAACCAGTACCACTCCAACATCTAGCAGTCAAATTTTCTAAGGGCAAGATGGAGGCCCTATGATGAATCCAGGAAGGGAAGGGTTCCTAGGGCCTTGACTAATGCATTCTTCTTTCCATTAGTCAAAGAAAGCAGCTGCTGGTGGCCCCTGGCCAGTGTCTTGGAGGATGCCCCTATGTTTCAGGGATACCCTCCTCTTCTAGAGAGGAGTGAGTGCTGAGCTCAGATAGATGCCAGTGTTCTCAAGGAATATCCTACTCCAAACTCAAACCATGCTTACATTGACCTCTTTTTTTGTTGGCTTTGGAGGTTGAGATATGATGGTATTTCTCTTAAAATCAAAAGTATAAAAAAATACCTTTTTTTTTTTTTTTTTTTTACTCCAGATTATAGACCTAAACAGGTGATATTTGTCTACATGTAAGAGAACTTCTGTTCCCTTTGGTGTTGACCACATTTGCTGTTAGAAACTACTGAACCAAATCAAAAGAAAGCCAAAAATTTTATGCTGTTTACATGAATACAGATGAAACATGTAGTTTTTGTTACTTAAAGGCTCTTCCTTTTATCAACACAGATAAAACAGATTTTGGTAATCTGCTATTTATAATTCCTTACCAGAACCTTATAATTCAGTAGAATATCACTGGAGAACTTCTGTATCACATAAAATTTACTTTTATCTCTCATGTGATGACTCTTCTCAAGAATCCAGTCCCATATGCCTCCTTTAGGGTAAGAAAATATGAATACAATTTGGTTAGCCTCACAGAGATGCACCTTGCCTTCTGTGCAGGAACATGTGTATATGTAAGTCCATGTTGGATGTAGTTGGACAGTATTCATATCTAAAGCCTTAGCTAATTCTCCTCACATAACTTATATTTTCTAAAAGCTATACAAGGTGTATGAAAAGGGCTATCTGCAGATGTTTTCAAATACTAATTCATATTTGGTATTTTACATATGGTTCTTATTACCTACTTAGATTTTGTGTGGTAACAGCATTCTAATTTCAATAGGACTAGAAATTATAACGTTTTTGCTAATAGTGTTTTTGCTATTTTTAATATAAAGTAGGGATTTTAATGCAGATACCATCAAGTGATACACATTGAGGCAGTAATACAAAATGTCACATGTATAATGGTATTGTTATTTCTATAAGCAATGTCATAGTTAAAAAACACAAACAGTGAATACGATTTCCACTTAATTAGGGTTGCAAATCTGCAGTGAAGCTTGCTTTTCTTGTTCTTTCTTTCACATTGAAATGGCATCTTTATTTATGAACCCTCAAGGGATCCCACAATTTTTAACAGCAATTTCATATAGTTAATACTTGCTTTTTCTTCTTGGTCTCTCAGAAAACAACTTACGCTTTGACACAGGCAGACACATATGATACCATATGTGCATACGCTGACACCCCCCCGCCCCCGCCCTACGTGTCCCCTTTCAATCTAACACAGAAGAAGGGGCAGGGCGAACACAGCAGTTGGGGCGACGGAAGTTCTGCAGCATGGACTGGAATACGCTGTGCTGCCTCCCTTTCAGCTTCTTATTGGAGGAAGTGTCTGAGGAAATGGATCTCCGGGTCTGGTCGCTTTGCGTTTTGATTAATTTCTCATGTTCCCGAATTTGTCTTTGTAAGTGGTTCTGGATGGCGATCCCCAGGGACTCCGGGTCCAGGGAAGCCCCGTACACTTCCCAGGTCATGCCCTGCTCGTCCCACACGACGTCCTTGACCCGCTTGGACTGCTTCAGCTGGAGTTTGGCATCTGTGCTTAGCTGCTTTTTCTTCTCTCCTGGTGTGAGCCCCACCTGAGCAGCAGCTGCTGTCACATTTAACTCCTTGAGGAACTCGCTGACCCGGCTGGCCCGGCGAGGGCTGGCTTTGACGGAGCGAGAAGGGGTCCTCTTGCCAGAACCTGGGCTGGAGTCACCCATGGCGTCAGGGGGTAGGCTCAGGCTGGTGGCTGTCTTGGTCTGTCTGTTTTCCTCTAAGATGCCCTCCTGGTTCTTTCTGTTTGGGGAGGGTATGGGATTAGCTGATCCTGAGCCTCCATTTTCTTGAGCTTTGGGATTGAGCAGTAGGGTTTTGGCATCTAGAGTATCGGTGCCCGTAGGCTCCTTTTCTTTTACTATCTGAGGAGACTTGTACTTTGTCTCCTTTGGACTGCCTTTACTCGTGGTGTCCAAACTCCTGGACTGGTCCTCTTTGCTCTCAGGGCTGCAGGAGTCAGATAGTTTGTAGTCTGGATCAGTCTTGTGATCAGATGTCTTGGCTTCAGATGTCCCCAGTTCCTGGTTTATTCCAGACTGACTACCTGCACTGCTAGAAATCTGGTCAATGGGGCTAGCTTTCAGGGAGCTAGAATTAGCATCTGAAAGCTGTCTAGAGGTTGACTCTTCCCTCAATGGAGTCTCTCCTGCTGGTCTCCCATCTTCTTTACAAGTATCTTGGGCCTGACTGCAGGCCCTGCTGATGGGTGAGGTCTTCAGGATCTCCTCTGGTAGGCTTACTCCTTTAAGTTCCCCTTGGAAAGCTGTAGAGACAGGTGCAGCTGTCTGGATGTGCACCTGAGCCATAATGCCACAGCCCTGCCCTGCCTCCTGGGAGGACTGTATGCTGTTAGAGAGCTCCAACACGTGGCTGCCACTGCCACTTCCCTGGCAAATGACACGCAGCTGCTCTTGATGTTCCAAGCACTCAAGAGCAGGGGTTTCCTTTAAGAAAGCGGTGAGGATGCTGGGGCTAGTGGAGACTGATCTGCTTTCAACGCTGGCCACCGCCTGCACCTCAGCATCTTGACGAACCTTGCTGGGGGCCTCCTTGATCTCACTTTCAGCTTGGTTGGTCATTGTACTGGCTTCTTTGAACCTCGACACCTGTTGTGTTGGCTGCAGTGCCTTCTCTGGATCTAGTGTACATGATGAAACTTCTCTAGTGAGATGGGATAGCTGAGGTGTCCCAGATGTTGTACCTTGGGTGTCTGAGGCAGTGGCAGATAGTTGTTTGTTCTCTGAACATCCATCTTCTCTTGCTGGAGGCTCACAGGACCTCCTTGTGGAGTGACAGATGGCTTGCTGCCTGTCCCCTTCAGGCCCACCTGCAGGAGGGGAAGAATGACTGAATACCTCGGCTGCTGTGCTCTGTACCATTCCCTGAATTGTTGCTTGAGAAGGAAAATCACAAGATGCCTGATCTTTGCTGCTGCCACAGGTGCCCCCTGCAGGACAATTTGACTTCTCGGTTTGGGCTCCATTCAAGGTTCTCTGAGATTTCACCAAAGAATCTTCAGGTTCTGATGAGGCGCTGGCATTGGGCCGATCACCTGGGATGGCCTGGTGGGTGTGCTGATTGGCTGGCATTGTAAATGGTCTGTGTACAAGATCCTTTGCTGCCGTAGGGCTCGGGACTGATGCTGTGGGCTCTCTGCTTTCCAGCAGTTGGGAATCTCCAGGAGAATTGTGTGTGGGAGATGCTTTCTCCACCTCATTGAAGACACCAGGAGAAGACATGTCTGGCTGGGTGGTGTCATGCTCACAAGCCTGCATCACGGCCTCAGCAGCAGTGCTGGGGCTGAGGCTTGGTTCTGCAGGGGCACCTGCCAGGCCATTGGCATTCTTTCCGGGTTGAGCTGGTCGGCACTGAGATAAGGAAGCCTGCAGCTCTCCTTGAGCCTCCTCTTTTAAAGAAGCTGCAACCAGGGAAGTTTTAGTGGACCTCAGAGGGTCAGGTACAGTACCCATGGAATTTCTTTCCAAAAACACGCCAGAGCTCTCCCTTGAGTGGTGTTCTTGCTGGAAGCAGTGGGAGTTCAGAGTGAAGACACAGTCAGAGATGATTCCTCCGAAGAATCAGCCTGGGGATCAAGGAAACAGTACTGTTAATACAGCACATCATTTAAGTACTAAAAGTGTACACAATTGCCATTTTTATAAGATCACATAAGCACATTGGCCTTTTCTTCTTATATCTGTTGCTGTAAAAATAGACCTTGGAAAGAAAGATTTTGAAAAAAAAATATTTTAACTATACAAATATTATTTTGGTACTTTAGCTTCTGCTTGTATCCAAACGCTGTCTAGAAAATAGGTTTTTAGTGTAAGTACTTACATCTGATAACTACTTTACAAGTCATTTGTATAATCTAATTTGCCAGAGATCAGAAAATTCTGTAAAGCTACTTTAATTATATCAGCAAGTATTGAAATAAGCCCAAACTTTATATCTGAGATAGAATATCAAGAAATAGATCAAAATGTAAATTTGAATTTAATATATGCCAAAAGCATATATTTTGATTTTGTGGCAAAAGGATAGACTACTTAATAGAAGGTGCTGATAAACTGCTTATTCATCTGGAAGGAAAAAAAAGAGTTTTATCTTATAGCAATTATAAAAATAAATTGTATATAAATGGATCAGAGTTTAAAATAAATAAATAAATTAAAATTTGTAAGAAAATCTAGAAACCATCAATATAGGGATGGGACAGTTGGTTTTTTTTTTTTTGACAAGGCAGAAACAATAAGATAAAATATAAACATAGGTGACTAAAATTCAAAACTTTTGCATGATAAAAGATATGATAGATTTGGGAATTTGATAGATTATATAATATAGCAAAAGGTTGTAAAAATTAAAAGGAGACCAAATAATCTGTTGGAAAAAGTTGGGTAAGGAATATGAAAACACAACTGAGAAGATAAGAAATCCAAATAACCAACATGCTTATAAAAGGATGATCTAATTCATTTTTGATCAAATAAATGCAGATAAATTAATGAGATTTTCTTTTATACCAACTGCACTTGGAAAAACTTAAAAAAAAAAACCAAACCAAAAATAGGCTTATAACACAGTGAGACCTGGGGAGACCTAGGGAAAGCAAGTATTTTTACTAATTTTAAGTGCAAATTTTAAGTGTATTGCTATAGCTTTTTTAAGGAAGCAGGTTAGTTTTTAAAACTTAAAATGCACATGTCTTTGATCCTGTGATACAATCTCTATCAAAAGAAATAAAAACACCCGTCTATAAAGAGATAGGGATAAGTAGGTTTGTTTGTTTATTTATTTATTTTTGGTACTGGGGATTGAGCCAAGGGGCACTTAGCCACTAAGCAACATCCCCAGTCATTTAAAACAAATTTTAAACTGAGTCTTTCTAAGATGTTTGCGGCCTCTCTTAAGTTGTTCTGGCTGGCTTTGAACCTGTGATCCATCTGTTTCAGTCTCCCAAGCTGCTGGGATTGCAGGGGTGTACCACTGTGCCCAGTAGGATAAGTGTGTTTATTGAAATGCTGTTTGTAGAAGAAAAAACTGGAAACATGAGTGAGGGAATGGTAATGTGTAATGAATAACATGTGCCTACCTTAAAGTACTAAGCAACAATCAAAACAAGTTAACTGATTAGGTTCTAACTTTTCACTTGGGGAGGATTTTCCCAAGGTATGGGTACATGAGAAACGTAAGGTACAGAAAAGGGCACATATATTTTTATTTTTGTAAAAACAATAACCTAAGACATTTCATCTGCATGTACATGCACACACACACACACATACAGAAGGTTGTATGTGATTATATAGATTCTAAAAATATTTAGAATGAGACATATCACTTATTTATTAAATGAAGGGAGAGGGATGAGTTAGGAACAGGGAGGGATGATGGAGGTCCCCAAAGTGGGAAAATGATGAATTTTTTAAAACCTATCTGATATAACCTGGGGTATATGCTTATGTAAAATTATATGTACATTTATGTGTAAACATTTTTAGAAAGGATAACTAGACATTAAGGCATGCGGATAAAGCCACGGATCAGAAATTAGTTTAATATTATCTCTGTCACTAAAAGGCTATCTTACCTCAGGCTAATCACTTAATCTCTCTGGGTCCCAAATTAACTAATTGGCAAAATGGATTATAAGCTTTCTAAGGGTTTTTCCAACTCCAGTATTCAAAGTTCCTACTTCTTTGCATGTGATTGATGATACGTTAAACAATCTTAATTTGGGCTGCGAAGTATCAAAAGAAGGCAAAGTCCTATCTTGTTTGGCTCAGATTTTGAAAGTACGAAATTTTATTTTTAATTCAGTGGTATTTGTCTGATCTTCTACTGCATGAAATCTAACGATAAATCAAACATTTTCTTCTGCAAACTAGTTTATCTTGTAACATCATTATTCATATTAATGGACCAAATATTTTTTCCATTGTTGGTCTTGACTGCTTTCTGCTCATTCAAATTACTCTTCTAGGTTTCTATTCCACTTCTCCTTTCTCTAGTTTTCTATTCATTTACTGTACCCTAAGCCACTTTCCCTTTCTCTCTCTTTTGCATCTGTGTTGATCATATGTTTCCTCCTACTGTTGGCTTTCCTTATCCTAAAAAGCCCACTGATTCTTCAAGGTCCCACTTGAACCCCATTTCTTTTCTGAAGTTCTGTAAAGGCTTCAAATCATAGATTTTATTTTTCAAAAACTCCTACAAGTCGGTCAGCTTGTTCTTCATCTTGTGAGTTTCATGTTCTGTTTTTGTACCATTCTTATCTATTTAAGTGTCCCATTTCTCCACAAATATTAAAAAGCCCCAGGAAGGCAGGGAGATGCTTATTGATTCTTTTCTGTTTACTCCACAGGATACAGTGCAGGGTTTTGTGCATAAAAAGTTGTTAATTGATCCTGTTTTCCTTTAAAATGGTCATTATTAAAAGCCCTGTTAAACTCCAAACTAACAGGAAATATTTAGCCATGACATAAAATAATAATAAAATCACAATTAAAAGGAATAATATTTTTGGAAGTAAGAAAGTGGTAGTATCTTATTTATTTTAAGTTTTTTGTATCTGGAATTCAAGTTTAGACAATTTAAACCAAGAACACTGGACACCTGCTATGAAAAGTTGGTAGTTCTCATAAAGCCAAGGGTACAGCCTGTCTCCTATGTTACATGGCCGGAGCCCAGAAATCCTGTTTGCCAAATAGGACTGTAAAATAGAAACAGCACAAAGTTCAGCAACTGAAAATGAAAAGACTTTGATGAAGATGACTTCATAAAATCCTCAGTCATTGTGTTTGCTTCCATTTCCCACACACAGCTGAGTGTGTTAGTTTAACTTTGCAAGGGTGTTTTCTTTCATTTGCTTTGCTAATAGAGATTAAATGATCCATCAATTCAAGAATCAAGAAACAAAGTCCAGATTGCTTGCCTCGCACCTCTTAACTTGAGTTCTATTGATTTATTAGTAGATAAGAAGTCATCACTGGTCTCAAACGTAGCTGCTAATGGAATCATTGCAGCATCTGTATGAGTCCAGAAGACACTCTCCTATGTTCCCAAACTACTTCTCTCTCCCTTTCCCTCCCACACCAAATAGGCAAAATCTACCTTTCCCGTGGATCAGACACACCAAATAATTAAAAGCAATTATTTGGTGGTTCAGAGTGAGGAGTGAGCTTTATCGCCAACTAGACTCCATTAAAATTAGACTTAATGACTTTAAAGAATAAGGTTGGGGGCTGGGTTTTAGCTTAGTGGTAGAGTGCTTACCTCGAATGCATGAGGCCCTGGGTTCCATCCTCAGCACGACATAAAAATAAATAAATAAAAATAAATATATTGTAAAGAAAAAAAAAGAGTAAGGTTCCAAAAAGGTAGCCTCCAGACTGAATACATTTCTTCTGGATAAGGGTGTGTGTGTGTGTGTGTTTGTGTGTGTGTGTGTGTGTGTCCTAGATGGTTTTTCCTTCCCTTTCTTTTCCTTCTGAACTGACGTGATCTTGAATAAAAATACAGATTTTTTCCTGTGTGCTTCTATTTCAAAATTTCAAACTTTGCATCTCCAGATGGAATCAACTAGATGGCACTGAGAAGGGCCTCTTGATGGGCATAGACACTCCAAGTGGCCCATGTCCCAGGATCCTGCTTTGCTCATTAATATTAGGAAAGTCCTATGTGCAGCTGAGTTTGTTCTCTAAGGGTACTGACAGAGCAGACTTCCCTGTCTAATGTCTATTCAGTCCCCTAGGGCAGTTTGAATTGGAGCTCAAGAACACAAACTTGGGGAGGCTCCCCTGAGTTGGAGTACTAGTTCCACTACCCAGATTTATCTCTGCGGGCTTGCATAAGTAACCTTCCAGGGAACAGTTTCATCTATTAATTAAAGATAATGATGATGATACTGCCTCAATGCGTTTTCATGAGGAACAGGCTTAGCATTTAGAAGAAATAGCATCTTGGCACATAGCATGCTCTATGTAAGTGTTACCCTCTTTTAAAAACCTCAATATTTAAGCGTTGTTCTGTATTAAAGAAGAAATTATTTGGATATATGTTAAAACAGAAAAAGGAAGACTTTAATCAGGTCTCTCACAATTAATGTCAAGATGATCACAATAGGGGAGAGAAAGAATGGGCTCAAATCCAAATATGATAAGAATATGTAGGTATTTATAGCCAAAGAACAGTTTGAGGGGGTTCATGGACAGAAAATTACTAAGATGAAACATTAAAGGTAGGGACAGTTTTATGGATTGTATAACAAGTTTCTTGGTGAAGGTAGGCCAGCTGATCAGGTATCTGTGATGAGGGATTCTCTCTAAGCTGGCTTAGCAGGGCTCTGCAAGAATATCCTGAAGCCCACAGTTGAAAAAGAGTTCACAGGAGGGCTCAGAGGAGTCTGACTAAAGTTTGGTATAGGAAAGAGTCTTTGTCACCTGCAGCAACAAATAGGATTTTCTTATAAGGTTGTCTGTAGCCTTACAAATCCTTCCCAAATTAGGCAAAAATCACACAGAATCTCCAGGTATCTCAAAGTGAGTTTGTATTTAAGTAAAGGGAACTGTGTTTTCAATA